AAAGGTAAATAATTTACACCATGGGTTAGTTGACACCTATTATACTACGCACTCTAATACAACTAAAGGTAAATAATTTACACCATGGGTTAGTTTACACCTATTATACTATCCACTCTAATACAACTAAAGGTAAATAATTTACACCATGGGTTAGTTTACAGCTATTATACTATGCACTCTAACCCAACTAAAGGTAAATAATTTATATCAGGGATTAGTTACACATAACAAAATTACAATAATATTATGCTTTGATATTATCTTCAATGTTTGAACTTCAAACTTTAAAATGGCCTTAGAAAAAACATACTATGAGATAAGCTGTCCCACAGGCTTTATGAGTGTCATACTGTCCTTCTGTTACTAATTAACTTCGTTCTATGCATGTGAGCCAACATCTTTCCATCCTGAGTTTAGTGAAAGGATACGAGACTGAAATACATTCCCACCAACTGCTCTTTCACAGCGAGCTTGCTGAGATCTGTCATTAGTTTACTATTACATCAGGCCTTCCTTCCGTATCCCATTCGGAAATGCTCATGGTGCGAGTGATGATAACAATAATAGCTAACACTTACGGAAGTTTTGATTAGAGAACTCCTAGTTAACACATGTCAGAGGTTAATACACCTCTAAAATACATCCATCTCTTTTAGTATTCCGAATAACCCTGTAAGGTAAATACGTAGCAGTATGCATGGCATGTAGTAAATGTTCCATAATAATATTAAGGATGAGGAAATTAAAGCTTAAAGAGATTAAGTAACTAATCAGGTGAAGACTGGATTTGAAGCCAAGCCTGCGTCCACCTCTTAGCCAGCCACCGTTCTTTTCTGCCTGTGTTATACATAAAAATAGTGAGGATGTGAACTAAACTAACAAGACACAGTAGCCCAACCAGGACAGGCAACCTCACAGCCCCAACTAACGGGTGTCCAAAAAGAATGATAAGAAAAAGTGTGTTTTGGATGGGAGAAAGGGCAAGAGAGAGGCAAGGAAAAGTACAAGAGGGAAAAAAAGTCCAGCAACACATACAAGAACATACGGCTATCGTATATGGGCCTAAAAAAGTATCAAGACATACCTGACTGTTAAGGGACAAGCTGCCTTCCAAACACAGGCCAAAGACTGGACATGGGAATGCTTTATTCCCTGTCAGCTGACCAGGTTACTGTAATTAAATACTCCAGGGAGTAATAAGCGCCACAGTTCTAGGATATGAGAATGCACAAGAGCTCAAGAGTTTCTAAAGCAAGATTTTCTTGCAGTCTCATCCTCAAAGAATAACAATTACCCATGCTGAAATAAAACAAGGAATCTAAAAGAAAAACAGAAAGAAAGCTAAATATGTCTGCAATCTCATTACTCCCTTGTGGGTATATCATCTTACACTAAGAATACACGAGGCTATTTTCTTCAAAGTTAATTAATCCTGCAGGTAAAGGGACATGTCCTTCATTTAATTCCAATGTTTATGTACACATTCTAGGATAGATATTATCAATGTTCCTTCCAATAGTCTAATGAGCCCACACCAGAAAAAAAAAAATCTATCTGAGGTTAGCAAGTCTGAGGACAGAAATGCAATTTCATATTTCATATCCAACCCAGTGGCATCCAAGTCTTGTTTCAAAGTATTATACTGGAAACTCCTTGAGAACCAAACCAAAATCAAACCAGTTGCTGTGGAGTCAATTCCGACTCATGGCGACCCCATGTGTTACAGAGTAGAACTGAGCTTCACAGGGCTTCCTCGGCTGTAATCTTTACAGAAGCAGATAGCCAGCCTTTCTTCTGAAGTGAGTTCAAACTGCCAACCTTTTGATTAGCAGGCAAGCGTGCAACCCTTTTGCACTAAGCAGGAACCTTCCACTTGAGAACAAGGGCCCTGGAATCTCCCTATAGCCTGACGTTGGGTATCCGGCAGACATGCAACTAACCCTTTCTAATGATGCCACTGAGAACAACTGCTTTTCCCACTAACATCTTAAAATATCAGCAAACAAATGTTCATAGATTAATGTTTAAAATTGATTTAGATAGAACCATCAAAGTTTTTTAAAGCCTTAGTATTTAACATTTATTTGGGCAGAATCAGTATCATACTTTTATTAAAATTGCAAGTTTCTAATAGCACAGTCCCATTCTGGAGGTTTAGAGAGAAAAAAAACTCAGAGCTGCTGCCCGAAGTACTGAATTAGTTCTGGAAGTCCTCATCACCACTACTGCCTCCGTAAAGAAAATTCCATAAATTATCTGCAGATTGCTGGTGCTAATCTGCTTCGACAGCCGGACGCTGACCAAATGGAATCAAGAGTCAAAAGACCCACAGCGTTCAAGTCTAGTCTTTGTCAATCCTGCTTAAGTGACACTGGGTTGGACAAGTCAGTTAGCCAAATGACTCTCATTTTACTCTTCTGTAAAATGGCAAGGGAAATACCTGTCGCACCCGCCCGGCTGCGTCACCGTTGTCATTAAGGGACCGGTTGCTCCACAGAGGGTCCCTCGCCGCCCTGCCGCCCCCTCTCCCCTCCCCCGCCCAGGCCCAGATCACAACAGAAGGAGCTGGAGACCCCCAGTACCTCGTCCGCTGCACTCGAGGAAGGATGCTCCCCTCCGCACCCCTCCCCTTGGATGGCGGCGACACGCGCTCCGACATTCGCGCAGCCACGGCGCCCGCCCGCTCCCGGCCACCTGCCACGCCCGTCTCCGGTGGCCCCTCTCCTTCGGTCTCCCAGGCTCGCCCGGCGCTCGCGGCCCCCGGCCGGCCGGACGCCCCTCCTGCCCCCTGGAGGAGCAAGGACCCCAGCCCGCGAAGGCTGCGCCCGCCTCGCCTCCGGGCTCCTGCAGCTCCTCCCGGGTTGCGTCCAGGCCCCGACCAGCTACGCCCCCAAAGCATCTCCTCCAAGTCTCCCCAGGCCGACGGGGGCGGGGTGGTCGCGGCGCTGCGACTCCTTACCCGGGAGCTTGAGCGCCCTGGACAGGACGGTCGCCATGGCGGAGGCCCCGGTGCGCGTGCGCGCGCCCGCGTCTTGCCGGGAAGTGTAGTTCCGAGCGGGCTGCGCGCGGGCTGGGGATCTGAAAAGGTGGGACCCGCTCCGCTGAGCAGAGCCCAGAGGAAGCATGGGGCTGCGGGGTCCGCGCCCACGTACACACGCCTGCAGGCTCATCTCCCGCCGACTCTGAACGGGTTCCTTACGGTGACAGTTACCTGACCACTCAGACTCTCACTTTCCTCCTCAGTAAAATGGGGGAAGTAGTAACTACCCCCTAGGTTCTCAGTGAGAAACGAATGAATCAACAGATAATAAAGGAGGCACAGGTTGTGAAATGCGCGTGGGCTTTGGAGTCAGACAAACTGGATTTGAATCCTGGCTGCATCACTTACTAGCTGGGCCATCTTGGGTAGATCACTTGGAATGTCTACGCTTCAGCTTCATTTTTAAAATGGAGAAGATACTACCTACTTCATAAGCTTGCTGTGAGAATTATATAATCTATTTTGGACACAGCGCACACAGTAGGCACCTAATAAGTGCGATTCTTTTATGTTTTTTAGGTAAAGGTTGAAGTTCCCAGTAGCCCTAACCCTCATTTCTTGCTAATGTTTTTTTCCAGGTGTTTGCTCAGCCTCCCAGCCTGCACAGCTTCTAGCCTGATGTGTCTGGGAAACCGATTCTGACCTGCTTGGTCCCCACATGCACCAAGAGAATGGCATTTTGGTGGGCAGGAATGCTGAAGATGTTATATTACCTTAGAACAGGAATGTATCTTGAGGCTATCTAGTCCCACCCTCCTTGTTTTATTGAAGAGAAAACGGAGATCTAAAAAGATGATGGGACCTCTTAGTGCCAGAACTAAAGCTCTACAATAACTCTCACCTGGAGGCAGCTTCATTCCCATGAGAAACTGTAGATAGAACTGTCCTGTGGGTGTTATCTGAGAGATTCTTAACAGCCATCCTCACCACCTCCCCTATAAAAAAAAGTCACAGACTGTGACAGAGCACGGACTCTGCAGCCAGACTGCTTGAGTTCAAATCACAGCTCCAACACTTCCAACTGTGAGGCCTTGGGCTAGTAACTCCATCTCTCTCTACCTCAATTTCCTCATGTGCAAAATGGGGATAATAATAGTTACTATTCCATAGAGTCATCTGCGATTAAACAAATGTATACGCAAAGTCCTTAGAATAGTGGCTGGCACGTTGCTGTTATTGCTAGCTGCTGTTGAGTTGGCCTCCAACTCTTGGGGACCCCATGAACAAGGTGCATTGACTGGGAATTGAACTGGGGCCTCCCACATGGAAGGGAAGAATTGTACCACTGGACCACCACGGCGCTGATTTAAAACCATAGTTTACATCTATGTAGGTCATCTAAAAGGAGCAACACTGCGTGTCGCAATAAACCAGCAGTAGCTTATCTGATAACAGATTAGCTAATTGGACTGTACTCGAGATATGAAGACAGAGAAGTGTGAGTAGGATATAGGCAATGTCAACTTCAGATGCAGAAAACAGAAACGAGTTTTGTAGGTGAGGATGCAGGTGGACTGAAACACCAGGTTACACAGGATAGGAGGAAAGGAGAAAATCTGTCCGCGGACAGGGTGTCCTTAGTGAAAGGGTATATTGCAGGAGAATCCCTCCTTATGTGAGCTAAGTAAAATAAAACTGTATATTTTAAAGTCTTATTAAAAACTTTGCTTCAAACCCAAAGCATCTGTGTGTGTACACACACTTAGATATATATACATAAACGTGTATGAGTATATACACATCCAATAGATGTAGCATCTCCAGCCCCTCAGATTTCTATACCTAACCTGATGGCATTTCCACCCTCCCCATAATCACCCCAGCTTTTTTCAAATGATTTCCTGGGGAAAGCAGATGCAGAGAGAATCCCTGTCTCCCTGTCATGGAGCGTTCCTCTACCTGTCTTCCTTGCCCCCCACAAAGTCTCTCTCCCATCCCTCCACATTTTTTCCACTCTAACAGGAATTACCGCTTAGAATAGTGTTTCTAAATTTTAATGAACTTTTCTTTCCTTAAAGAAAAAATTCAAAGTGGAAGCCAAATGAATCACGATCCTTGCCTTTTCTATACAGAAAACCTGTGAGAACTTCTCTAGTTACCTGGCAGGATGTGGGTGCCTTCACTGCCCAAACCCCCCATAGGCTCTCACTGAGGTCACCGCGCAATGTGTAAATGCCCAGGGGTTCCCTGACTTCTGAACTGCGCTTGCCTCCCTGAGAAGTAAAACAAGGGCAGCTGGGGATGTGAAGCCTGAAGACAGCCTTAATCTGCCTGAGTGCTGCGCCTGCTTTGAGGAGAAGGCATTTGCTGGATGCACAGGTGTGCTGTGTTCTGATTGCCCCGTTACCGTCTCCCTAGCTGCTAATGGACATAATAGGCACTAATGGACATAAAGTATGTGCTTTAGGGGGAGATGATTGCCCTCAGAAGAACCCAGAACTCTGTTAAGCTATTTTAGTGGGGTAAAGGAGGAAGGGCTGGTGCCAGTAAACCTAGCCCACTCTAAACAGGGGCAATAAATGATGTCATTGCTTGCAGGGGGCTTTCCACTTTTATTACTACCTTCTACCTTTTATTACCCCCTTTTATCACCCCTTTCCCTACCTACTCTCTGTACATGCTATCTGCCACGAAGACATGGCTGTCTGATTAGTATTTAATCCCAGGAGAGAGGAAATTAGGCATTCTTCTAAGATGTGAACTGGGGCCTTCCTGGATGTGACCTAACCCTGTGGACTGGAGCTTAACTTCAGGGATCCTAGGCTAATAACGATGTGTGCTGTTCTACTCAGCCCTGTTCTGTTTATTCTGTAAGCAATAAATGCCTGCTGATCACACCATTAGAAGGGTCTAGTCTACTCTGCTCCAAAGAATCCTTCACTAAGATTTTGTGATTATAGTGACATTGCAACATTATTTTTCTGAAAGTCACAAATGAAGCCACAAGTGCACCTTCTATTCTTCTTTCATTGATCTGGAGTGGGAGTATTCTTCCCCAACCTCAGTCCCAGTTACTTACAGAAAGGACCCATATTTCCTGGTTCTTGCTACCTTTGTGATACCCTAAGTACTGCTCAAAATCCCTAAGTGTCCTGCATGCGCTCATGATCAAATCTGGCCATCAAAAATACTTGCCATTCGCAAAACTGGATATCCATCTGCAAAAAAATGAAACAGGACCCATACCTCACACCGTATACAAAAACTACTTCAAAATGTATCAAAGACCTGAATATAAAGCCTAAAACTATAAAGTTCATAGAAGAAAAAATAGGACCAACACTACAGGCCTTAATACACGGCATTAA